CGATGCGTGAAGTTGGCCGGCATGCGCCGAAGTTCGATCATCCAGTGGTCCTCGAAGAGACCCACCACCGGCTGGGCTCCGCCCACGAGATGGAGCACGCCGGCCACCTTATTGATGCCGAGAGTTCCATGCAAACGACACGCGTCGAACTTGTTCTCCGGCTGGCCAATGTGCAGGCCATGTGGCTGCAGCTGGAGCAGATCGAGTGCTCCTGGTGGTGGCGGAGCAGCGGGCACCTGGGACGGACTCTCCCGCGCCGGATGCGGATCCCGCATGATGTCCTTGAACAGCACATCGGCCACCGAGTGGAACTGCTCGCGCAGGTAGTGGTTTTGGATTTGGATGGCCTCGAACTGCAGCCGGTCGTGCTCGGACATCTCCCACCAGACGCCCTCGCGCTGCAGCGTCCCGTAGGCGAACACATCCTGCTGCGTCTCGTCCATGAGATCCACGCCGGAGAGCGAGGCGCAGGGCATGGCCACCGTGATGTCCACATGCATCTGCACCTGCTCGTCGAGTGCAATGTCCGGCTTGAATTGGTAAACGATGTCCGTTTCGTGCCAGTAGTAATGGAGTTCCGTGTAGACCAGGTAGACGATTAACAGGCGGCTCAGCAGGGATACTAGGATAGAGTGAGGAGTAAATGGTTTAAAGATTATCCGGGTAATAGCTGAGAGTACCAGACTTACGTGTGCCTCCGATTTCCGTCGTCTCCGTGTACTTCTCCGGGACCTTCTTAAACGCATCCAGATTCTTGGCGAACTCCAGGAGATTGCTCTTGTCGCCGCGGTAACGCAACGTGGCCGTCATCTTGCTGGGCGGGATTGGACTTTGGGATTGAGATTCGAGATTGCTACTGGAATGGTTTCGGTTGCGGGTGCCTGGTGCCGCTTGTAAAATTGCACTTTCAATTTGGCTTGCGTTTCAGTTTCATTGCCACGTACTCCGAAGCTCGCCGGGCACCGCCACGCCCCCTCCCACGATATATTGCCGCTGCCTCCTCCTCCAGCGGAATGTGGCGTATGGTGTGTGGGTGCGGGTGTAGCTGTGGGTGTAAGGCTCCTGGCTGTCCTAGTTGGTGGCTCTCATTAAGCCCGGCTTGTGGGAGTTGGCGTGGATAAACAAATGCGTTTGTGGAAAGTCCACGATTTATTTACAGCCGGTGTGCAGAACAGCTGAGCGGGAGCAGAGTTGCCACTTGGCAATGAGTGGATAATGGGGTCACCCTGTTTAAAATAGGGGGAGAGTGGTTTGAGACTTGGCTAAGGATATGTAAAATGGGGGAGCGTGGTTTGCGACTTGGCTCGTATTTACGCAGAAAAAAAGATTCAGTTTTTCTGAAAAAATATTCTTTTTTTCCGGTTTCTGGATCGTAGTTTAGCCAAACCAAGGCGTACAGCTAAAAGACCGACTGTTTTGAGCAGCTGACAACCTATGCTAACAATCCCCATTACTTTCCGGGAAATTTATTTTTTGAGCAATTTTTTCATTTTTTGTATCATCATCTATTTTTGCAAAAAATGGCAAAAATTAAAAATTTTCAGGTTTGGATGCCAATGGATTGGAAATTAAGCAACGAGCTCAACGAGGTATGACATTCCTCGATCCGACGCTTAATTTCTTTGTAGCAGCCAAAAAACAGAATTTTTTTGGCGAAAAAAGGGTTTACATTTTTGTCAAAAATACAAAATTCGGATTTTTGTCAAAAATGTGACATTTTTTTTGGATTTTTCATCGTAGTTCAGCCAATTCAAGGCGTACAGCTAAAAGACCGACTGTTTTGAGCAGCTTGCTTAAAATGCTAACAATCCTTATCACTTTTATGAAAATGTATTTTTTGACCAATTTTTTCATATTTTGTAAGGGGGTACATCATCTATTTTTGAGAAAAATGGCAAAAATGAAAAATTTTCAGGTTTGGATGCCAATGGATTGGAAATTAAGCAACGAGCTCAACGAGGTATGACATTCCTCGATCCGACGTTTATTTTCTTTGTAGCAGCCAAAAAACTGAATTTTTTTGGCGAAAAAAGGGTTTACATTTTTGTCAAAAATACAAAATTCGGATTTTTGTCAAAAATGTGACATTTTTTTTTGGTTTTTTCATCGTCGTTCAGCCAATTCAAGGCGTACAGCTAAAAGACCGACTGTTTTGAGCAGCTTGCTTAAAATGCTAACAATCCTCATCACTTGTATGAAAATGTATTTTTTGACCAATTCTTTCATTTTTTGTAAGGGGGTACATCATCTATTTTTGCAAAAAATGGCAAAAATGAAAAATTTTCAGGTTTGGATGCCAATGGATTGGAAATTAAGCAACGAGCTCAACGAGGTATGACATTCCTCGATCCGACGTTTATTTTCTTTGTAGCAGCCAAAAAACTGAATTTTTTTGGCGAAAAAAGGGTTTACATTTTTGTCAAAAATACAAAATTCGGATTTTTGTCAAAAATGTGACATTTTTTTTTGGTTTTTTCATCGTCGTTCAGCCAATTCAAGGCGTACAACTAAAAGACCGACTGTTTTGAGCAGCTTGCTTAAAATGCTAACAATCCTCATCACTTTTATGAAAATGTATTTTTTGACCAATTTTTTCATTTTTTGTAAGGGGGTACATCATCTATTTTTGCGAAAAATGGCAAAAATGAAAAATTTTCAGGTTTGGATGCCAATGGATTGGAAATTAAGCAACGAGCTCAACGAGGTATGACATTCCTCGATCCGACGTTTATTTTCTTTGTAGCAGCCAAAAAACTGAATTTTTTTGGCGAAAAAAGGGTTTACATTTTTGTCAAAAATACAAAATTCGGATTTTTGTCAAAAATGTGACATTTTTTTTTGGTTTTTTCATCGTAGTTCAGCCAATTCAAGGCGTACAGCTAAAAGACCGACTGTTTTGAGCAGCTTGCTTAAAATGCTAACAATCCTCATCACTTTTATGAAAATGTATTTTTTGACCAATTTTTTCATTTTTTGTAAGGGGGTACATCATCTATTTTTGCGAAAAATGGCAAAAATGAAACATTTTCAGGTTTGGATGCCAATGGATTGGAAATTAAGCAACGAGCTCAACGAGGTATGACACTCTTCGATCCGATGTTTATTTTCTTTGTAGCAGCCAAAAAACTGAATTTTTTTGGCGAAAAAAGGGTTTACATTTTTGTCAAAAATACAAAATTCGGATTTTTGTAAAAAATGTGACTTTTTTTTTTGGTTTTTTCATCGTAGTTCAGCCAATTCAAGGCGTACAGCTAAAAGACCGACTGTTTTGAGCAGCTTGCTTAAAATGCTAACAATCCTCATCACTTTTATGAAAATGTATTTTTTGACCAATTCTTTCATTTTTTGTAAGGGGGTACATCATCTATTTTTGCAAAAAATGGCAAAAATGAAAAATTTTCAGGTTTGGATGCCAATGGATTGGAAATTAAGCAACGAGCTCAACGAGGTATGACATTCCTCGATCCGACGTTTATTTTCTTTGTAGCAGCCAAAAAACTGAATTTTTTTGGCGAAAAAAGGGTTTACATTTTTATCAAAAATACAAAATTCGTATTTTGTTAAAAATGTGGCATTTTTTTTTGGGTTTTTCATCGTAGTTCAGCCAATTCAAGGCGTACAGCTAAAAGACCGACTGTTTTGAGCAGCTTGCTTTAAATGCTAACAATCCTCATCACTTTTATGAAAATGTATTTTTTGACCAATTTTTTCATTTTTTGTAAGGAGGTACATCATCTATTTTTGCGAAAAATGGCAAAAATGAAAAGTTTTCAGGTTTGGATGCCAATGGACTGGAAATTAAGCAACGAGCTCAACGATGAAATTCATCATTCTGAGTTATAGTTTTGTTATGGCAGCCAAAAAACCGAATTTTTTGGCGAAAAAATGGGATTCCGATCTTAGTCAAAAATACGATATTCAGATTTTGGTCAAAAATGCGATTTTTCTTTCCTCAACAAGGTATGACACTCCTCATTCTGACCTTTTTGGCATTTATAGTTTTAAAGATTAATATTATTGTTCCATTTTGCTTAAAAACAGGGGGCGTGGTTTAATACCTGTCTATTCACGCTTAAAATAAGGGGGCCATGGCTCAGCACCTCGCTGTACAAAGTATCGGCGACATTTAAAATAGTGGGCTTTTGGTTTGAAACTTGGCTACCAATAAATAACATTGCAGCAGTTAGCTTTTGTCAGGCAGAGAATTGAGTTTATATGTGGCGCTACCTGTCGGTGAACTTTGTATATGATCCCCAAAATTATGCTACACTTTTAGGGATATACGAGAAAAGCAGTTACCCGAAAAGTATGCTACAAATATTTTAAATTTAAAATCCACTTCATTTGATTCCGAAAATACTGCCGACTTGGTTATTATTTTATTTTGTTTAATAATAAACGTGGTAATTTAAATAAAGCCAAAGGTTTTTGCGCCGCCTGGGTCGTTACGCTTTCATCTCATTCATGTTGCGTCGCAAGACCTAGAAAAAAAATGGTATGTGTTATAAATAAAACTTGAAATAATATATAATATATATTTAAGATATAAAACACCATTGTATAAAAATAAATAAATTAAAAATTAAGTCACGTATAACAATTCAAGCTAAATACGTGCCACATAAATGTGTATTTTGCAAAAGAAGTCATGCAAAAAGGAAAAATAAGCATATAAAACAGGGAAATTGGAATTGAATCCTTGCAAGTGCTGCAAGGGCTAATCCACCACCTGAAGTTCCGCGCGGAGTTCCAAAAACTGATAACAATTCCGACGGAAGTGAGCGCGAGTTCGTTTGGTTCGCTGGCGGAACCGGTTCTGCGAATGCCACCCTTTGGATTTCGGACTTCGTTCCGAGCACCTGCTGCTGCCTTTTTTCGGCTGGCACATTCCACAGGCCACGGACCAGGCAGCACGGAGCACTGCTGAAGCAAGTAGTTCCACTTCCACCCCCGCGGTTTCGGTTTCTGATTCGGATTCGCCCTTAATATCGATCCCGGGCACGCGCTCTGCGCCCCCGAATTCGACTTTCGGACTCGCAGGACATTCGATTTGGAGGCAACGAGTCCGCCGAGCAGCCAGCAGCACTCGCAGTCGTTTGTGAGCGTTCGCAGCGCCAGGTACAGCCCATCGCCAGAGCTCCAGATTCAGAGATTCAGAGACCCAGAGATTCAGAGCTCCGCTGGGAAGAGGCCTAGGGCTGATTTCTCCCCCTTTCTCCCACAATCAGAATCCACGAGAGAGAGAGAGAGAGAGAGATTTGGATGCCGAGGAGCCGAGAATCGAAACCAGAGAGACACACACATTGAGAGACCAAATCAAATCACTTAAAACAAAATACAAGCTCAATACTTTTTTTTGCTGTTCAAGTGCGAGTGTTTAATGAGAAAAAGAGAAAAAGCAGAAGAAATATAGAGAAAACCCTAGAGAAACATCCAAAACAAAGTGATATAATCTTGAATAGAACAAAACTAAGCCGATGCGAACAGTGGATTTGTGGTGCCAACTTAGTTGGGGGGGCAAAATGCGCAGAATCAGTGAGAAAGTGAGCAAAGAGAAGAATTGAGAAAGTGAGAAGTGAGTGCGCAGAAGCCAGAAAAACGACGTGGTTACGAGGCCTTTTCCTTGGCCAAGGGGTAATGGCAGGGGGGTTGGGTGGACCTGCGTAGGAGCTGCCAAGAGCAGAGGACTTTCACAAGTGACACAGGACGCAGGACATGGGACATGGGAGCCAACGGCTGCAGCTGACAGGTTCTCCGCTTGCCTCCTGAATTACGTAGTTTGCGGAGTGTATTTTTGTCCGAGAAATACGAAATACGAAATACCATGCCATGCCATACCATACCATCTCAAGAAGCAGCGAGTAAGGGGTACTACTGAGTACTGGGTACTTTTGGACAGATAGCAGCGAGTGCTCTCTTGCCTTAGCTTTCCTTTACCCCCCGCCTGACATCTTAGACTCTCTTCTACTACGTTCCACAATCAAATACTACGACCACACACAGACGCACACTCACTGTCTTTTCCGAGTTGACATTTTTCGTGGATAGTTTTTGGGGCAAAGGCAGCGACAGCGACGAAAGGAAAAGCGCTTCGCTGTGGGGCAGGCAGCTAACCAGCTCACCAGCTAACTTGGGCACCGCAAATCGAACGAAATCGGAGTACGAACCCCCAGAACGCAGAAAGCAGAGATCAGAAATCAGAAAACCAAAATGCTGAGCCCACAATTCCGAATCGCTTGCTAATGAAATTTTCTTGTGTTTTCGATTTCTTGTTGTTGCTGCCGCCGTCGTCTGTCTGTGCAGCAAAGTGTTAAACGAACAAGCCAACAAACCAAATACAAGTTAAACAGAAACAGCAATCGAAACAATATCAGAATCCGAATCCAAATCAGAAGAGTTAGACGAGCCGCAGAAAGCAGCGCTAAATTCAGAGCCCCTCTGAGATTCTGAGACTCTCAGGCAGGAGAAACAGGAGACACAGGAGACGGGAGACAGGAGGACAAAGGAGCCAAGGACAAGGAGCTGAAAGCTGAAAGGAGTGCGAACAATGTGCGCCGCGCTGCGTCGTAATTTGTTGCTGCGGAGCCTCTGGGTCGTCCTGGCCATTGGCACCGCTCAGGTTCAGGTGAGTCACCGCATCCACACACCACTCCACTCCACTCCACTCCACACAACAGAACCATAACCAGAACCCCACTCCACTCCACATTCGATACAATGCCTCGAAGGAACGAAGGCGCTAGCCGAAAGACCCGAAACCCAGAACAGAAACACAAACCGAAACCGAAAGAGCACACTGAGGCAAAATATGACCCAAAAATATGGCTACTTTTGAATATTGAAATAGATATAGCCTCATTAAAATATGTATTCTGGCTAGAGATCTGAAGACATTATTTAAACATTTAGATTTGTACATTAGATATAATAACCATCTATTGTGACAAGCGGTCTATTTGAATTTAAAAAGTAAAAAATTAGTTTTATAAAATTTTTAAAACAATAACTAAAATGAGCATTAACAGAAACCGAAACCGAAAAATTATAGGTTTGGTCTTAATTTTGGTAGTTAGGGAAACAAACTTAAATTAATCTCTAGAAATTTTTCCTTTAATACTTATTAAAATGCCCTATAATAACATATGTTTAAAATGTTATATGTATTTTCAAACCCATCAAATCTAATAATATATTAAAATACCATTTGTCTTATTAATACAATATTAAGAGGAAAACGAATATATTTCACATTTAATAGAGTTGACCAACGTTTCAAGATAAAATCATACCCACCAAAACTATAACATAGTAAATTTATTGATACAATATCAAAAGTGAACCAATACATAAAAAACGTATAATACCAAAGAACTTTTTAAGAGATATTTAATCCTGATACACCTTTAATATATTATTCATAACATTTTGTTTATTGATACAATATCAGAAGTGATATTACAGTGTACAGCTGACAAAATCGAAGAGATATGGCTGTGGTTTTTTTCTGCGTGCAATGGCAATTCAAATCCCAACCACACACACACAGTCACTCACACTCACACACACTCATTGGGCGAGAGACAGATACACAAACACTTGAGCAGCGTTTGTGAGTTTCTGTTTTCTGTTTTTCTGTTGTGGCCGTGGGCCAGGCTAAGCAGCCGCGCAAAGTATGCTACGAAAAATGTGCCATCGCTTAGCAGCGCCGCCCGAGGGTTCAAGGGGTTTCGAGGGGGGTTTCTGGGGGTTTAGGGGGTTTTCTGGGTAAGGGGGTTCCAGTTGCCGTCTCAGCCGTTGCCAAACTAACCAACACAAGGCGCGAGTGTGCGCAAATATTGGCTTAATTGAACCGTTTTCTTTTCGCTAGCTGACTGGCTGGGTTTTTCCCGTGGCTTTTCGGCTTACACAACCGCACACAGGCAACCGAAAGCCCAAAAACCGAAAACCCAAAACCGAAAACCCAAAAACCGAAGGAGATACCAACATTCAGGAGCAGCAGCAGCAGCAGCAGCAGCTGGCTCCAACTGGCAATTTGCATGCGAAAGTAGCTAAAGTGCCAGCGAAACTAATGAAGGCAGTTAGGCCATTTTGATTTTGATTTGCCACCCGTTGCGGTTGGCAATTATCATGGAAATTGAATAAGTGGCCAGGTTATCGATCGGAGATGTTGGGGGGTTTGAGTGGCGCTTTGGGCCCACTTACTTACATTCGCATCTTTATTCCCAGCTCAGGTCCAAGAAAATCCCTCAATTATTGCTGCGGAACTACAGCTCGGCTACAGCTCCATCAGCATAATCCTCAAATTGTTCTGAGGCTGGTCCTGCATTCATCAGAGGGATTCTCTCTCTTTTCCGGGCGCATTCATCAATTCACAGGCACTCGCACACACACACACACACACACACACACATGCGTTCCTGGGATATTGTTGGCTTAAACTGAAATGCTTTTTCAAATCATTTCAAAACAATTTCAGCCCGACCCGAGCTTTTCTTCTACCAACCCGACCCACAATCGACGACGTGCCTGGCCTTAACAAAAATTTCCTTTACGTATTTCTCCCCTTAAATAACTCAAAGCAATTTGCCTTGGCAACGGACAACGGACAACGGACAGCGGACAGCGGACAGTCTTAGGGGTTCTGAGCATTTTGCGGCGAAACAAAAACCTTATCAAATTCGTATACATGTACGTAGCGAAGCAATTGAAAGAAAGAGTGGAGGAGTTGCAGGAGGAGCAGCTGGAGGAGCAGCTGGAGGAGCTGCTCCCAAGGATGTTGGGGCCAGGATACCTACCCAATCCCAGTTAAGCTGCTTTATGGCGCCCTGCACCCCTGCACCCCTGCACCCACTCCTTTCATGGCTTGTTTTGTATGCAGCCTGCAATTTGTTTTGCCCTTCTTTCTTTCTTTAACTCACCCACCAACCACCATCCGCCCCACTGCACTCCACCTATCTGCCCCCTTTGTTTGCCAGATACTTTAATGCCGCTATTCATGCTAGTTCGCTGTTGCCGGAAATTTATGACTGGACCTGGACTATCCGGGGACCTGGTCACCACCGCCCACCGCCCATCACCCACCACCCACTGAACCACCCTGCCTTGCACCACCTTCTCCAGTCAGCCATCACCGTTATCAGTGGCACGCATCGCCCTCGTCATTTTTGTGGTCGTCGGTGGTTGCTTATGTCGCCAGTACCCACTGTTCACCTTCCCTTACCACTCTACTGAAAACACAGAAAAAAAGAGATTCAATAGACCAACCTAAAGCCTCTGAGGTTTTTAAATCTCTTACAAATATACCTAAAAGTATGCAACTATATTTGCGTTTTTAAAAAATAAGTTGATACTTTTACTACCTACTTCTAGACACTTTAGAAAAGGATTTCTATGGCTGTGGTTATATATTGAATGTTATTGGATTATTTTTCTCTTTTTTTAAACTTTCTAAATTGGCTCAAGGCAATAGCTAAAGTCAATCAATTTAATCAAACTAAAACAAAATGCCATTCATTTCAAATATATTTCTCCCTTTTCCATTTTTTTATATTTTCATTATCTAAACAGGTTTCTTTTTTAAGATATGTCCCTTGAATATGACAAATTTCCAAAGAATTTCAGTGAAATTGATTTGAATTTCTTGTTGTGTGGTCTTCTTACCACTGGCTACCTAACCCCCCTTATCAGCCATGCCCCCTATTTTTTTTAGCTATCCCTCCTCTGCTTGCATTTTTTCTGCGCTTTCCAGTTTTTTCCCCATTTTTTTTAAGGACTTCACGTTCGCATGTCTGACTCATCCGCAAGGCAAAGTAAATGGGAGGGGTTGGCAGGACTACGGGACTGCAGGACTGCAGGACTGCGGGACTGGCTCACAATGTGCAATATGCCCGAGCATCTCCCCAAACACTCGATGCCAGAGCGACGTAAACCCCACCCCCCTTAAGCCCGCCGCCCCTGGCAAAGGGAACACGCAATCGTCGCTGCCAAACAACCCATACAAAGTCCCTTTTCTGCAGAGAACAGGGGCTTACACAAAGGGGGGTGGGAAGGGGAGAGGGGGTGACCGGGTGGCCGGGTGTCGTTGGCCATTTGATTGTCGGCTGGGAACTGGTAACTGCGAACTGCGAACTGTCGGCCAACTTTAGTTACCCACCCTGTTCCTTTGGAAGCCAACCCACATGCCCCCATCCCCTCCAGAATTGCACTGGAGTCAACTGAATTAGTCGGTTCGCTGCTCAGCTGGCTGATAGAAGACAGAGGCGTAGAGGGGGCTTAGCATACATAACCCCCTCTATTGAGTCACCCGCTGGGCTTCGAATGAATCATGCGGGAATGCGATCCAGCCGCCGTAACGGAATTTCCCACAGCCGCAAAACTTTTCTGGAATTCCGCGTTTCGATCCAAAAATACACCACTCTGCACTCTCCACTCTCCACTCTACACTCTACACTCTTCAAATGCGGCATGCACAAGCAGTAAAATAAAATCAATTATCAAGTATTTTCAACTTCAATTATATATGGTATTTACAACTTGATAGTGTTACAAATGCAGGAAGCTCTCTTATATGGAGAACAAGTGAGTTTTAAGTACCAAGAAATTCTTGGATGTGGTTTTCGGTACTTGTATTGAACATTCAATATTATTCAGTTGATTGAACTTATTTAAATCGAAATATTAAATGAAAGCCAACTATAACCTTCAAACCCCAAAAGAAAGTCCCTGAGTTAAGTCAAAGAACTAAAAGTTTTACTAAGTATTCAATTCTCAATACTATCCATGGTATAGCCGTTATGACACTTGCCTAATTTTTGACTAACTCACTGCATTTATTCAAAAAAGTTCAACCCAAATATGATTTAATATATAAATACATAACATGTTGCTAGGCTGTAGACCATTTTCTATAGGTTGCCAGGACTTTTAAAAGTAAGACCCGTCTGTTAGTCAAAAATCAAGCTAGTGCCATAAAGTTTGAGTACTGAGCCAAAGTGCTTATACTTATCTTTGGAGTATCTAAACCATAACCCCTAGATATCCCCCCTCTTTTCGCCCAGTGTAGTAATAGAATCTGCCGCTAGGGGTGTCGCCACATGGGCTTCCCACTGCACTGACCACAGTTCGTGATGGGGTTAAGTTTTGGTTTCAATTGGGTTTGTAGTTGGTCAGCCGTAGTAAGTCACTTACGCAGTCGCCATTCTCCGCCCGCTGCTGCAGTGCATCCTCATCTACATCTGTACATCTCTTCGTCTCTTCATCTCCTGGCTGTCCTGTGTCCAGTGTCCAGCGACCCGTTTCCTTTGTCATTTGTCAGTCTGAGAGTTGTCCACGTCCTGTCCATCGTTCATTAGTTGTGGTGTCGATGTCGCACACATATGTATATGCTATGTGGGCAAAGATGGAGCGGTGGGTTTGGTTGGGATGGTAACTGGTAACTGGTAACTGTGCAGTGACCCCAACTTCCCTGGGATTCCCTGCCAGGACCTCCTCCTCCTTCTTTTGTCTGTCCTTCGCAACTCGTTTGGTTTTGTTTCGTTACGTTTCGTTTCGTTCGGTTGGCTTGGCTTTCATGTTGCCTCGGATCACATCGTATCGTATCGTATGGGATAGCTGTAGGTTTGGGTT